CCGCAATTCATTTCCGCGCGGCCGGCGAGGGCGATGCAGACACAGGTCATGGTGAAATGAGGGGTCGAATACAGCCACACCGGCGGCAGTGGCGGGTTACGCATCAAACCCGATGCGCCATATAGTGATAGCTAGGCGTATGGTTGTCTAGTCAACTCGAAAGGTCAGACCTCTAATGAACCTCTACCGGAGACCACCAATAGCAAGATGTTCATCAAGATCGTAACAGATGTCCTTGGTTACAGCGGCATTCACCAACGTCTTGGGGACAACGTAATGTTGCAGAATAATCCTCCTATTCGCCGATTAAATAAGGGTTGATTCTGACTTACCTTACGACTATAATTTAGCTGTTTTGACCACTCCGTTTGCGGTCTAAAAGGCATTTTTAATTTTTCTTAGCAGTCCTTGTGTCAATCCGATTGACAGGCAAAATAGAGAAAAAGCAAGAAAACATTGTTCGATGCTGGAAAAGCTGGATTTGCGCTTAATGATTGGGCAGAACAAACCACCATAGACAAGGCAGTAGTTCCTTTGTCCTCCAAATAACGGCAAGTTTTAAAGCAGGAGAACAATCAACAAAGTAGAAATACGTTGCAGTTGTTGTGGCTTGTATTCTACTTCCGCCCCCTGCTGTCCGTTACCTCAGGCCTTAAATAATTTACTTGTCATAAATTCGTTTCATTGATTTGGTTGTTTCAGGTAAAATATATTACTTTTAGCTAATAGACAGTAAGTTGCAAACCAAACTTGCGTTCTTTCGAATAATGGTCGGTTTTAATGTAGTATAACTTTCGCGTATGCGGGATGGACGGCGCATGCGTTACAAGGTCGTTTCGTGACCTCACGTAGGTAAGGTAATGAACCGTAGCCTTCAGACATCTTAAAACATAATAATTCACCTTCGAGAGACGATGCGCATGGCTAGCAACCACCGCCCATCCGCGCCGAACGGCGATTTCGAACATGTATCGCGCCAGACGCCCGGCATTTTGCTGGATGTAGTTCATGTCAGAGATCAGAGAGTGTGTTCTCGGTTGCTGGCGGCTGATGTAGGCCTGCAGGAGAACATTTATCTTCTTTTTAATATTCGAATCCACAGTGCCCGGGTTCTTTACAGGCACATGACAAGCGTTGTCCTGGAGGTCCAGCAGGTCATTCTCCTCCTCATCACGGACCTATAAAAAATAAAAAAACAAGCCTACTAATTATGTTTCAGTAGATAGGCTGTAATCACTTCGCATTTGATCGGCAGCTAGTGTCAAAAGGACACCAAGGGGGGGGAGGGGTGGGGTACGAACCTTCATTGACGAAAACTCTTCTGCCTGGCTGATGAGCGCGAACAGGTCGGCGATGAGCATCAACGGATGCATAGCATCTTTGACAAGCGCGGCCGTCTCATACTTGATATAGTAGAGGCTGGCAGTTCGTCCACGGTCCGTGGAGGCCAGTTGACCAGTCGACTCCTCATAGCGCACCATTTCAGCCTTGTCCAATTCAAGTGCCGCCTTCCGCAGGGCACTGGTCATAAAGTGTGTGAAATCGGGGTCTTCCTGTTGATAGGGAAGCACATCAGAGTTTGTTACACAGAACTCAAAATATTGTTGCTAAACTGGGAACACGACCGACATTTACCGAAAGAATAGGTATGGCGCAGATGTACAAAAGTGAACTGGACAACTTTCTTAAATTAACACATATAAGCTACATTTGGTTCCTCGCGCTGACTGGACAGATGTTTGCTTATATTGGCCCCGAAACAGCTTAAAGTAACTTTCGAGCACCAATTAAGATACTCAAAAACATAATTAGATGACTTAAGTGGCAAGAAGTTAGGACGAGTATAAATAGGCATGGAGAAAATTATTAGTGTGTTTAGATCTCGGTGTCTACGTATCACACAGATCCGGGTTTCCAGATGTCCATCAACAGCTTAAGGAAAAGAGCCTTGGATTTCAACTGCATAAGAGTGGTAATCGTCGTCCACTGCGACATTGCATGACATCGTGGCGCATTTGCGGGAGCTTTATTCGATTATTAATGGCCCTGGCTTCCGATCTCGGGTACGTCAGAACCTGGAGATGGGGATGGCTACAAAGCCGGGAACGTTTATATCTCAATCAGTAAAACTTCCCGGTATTGGATCCCACGCGAATGAATGCTACAGAGGCCGAACTAAGAGGGAACTATTGCATGCGGACACTCAGTTTGAAGGTGGGCAAAGTTAGTACCTCAAATGCAAACCCTTCAGGCCATCACTTATGGCGCATCGTAATATTTCAAGAGCACGTCAACCATACTATTGTGAGCAAAGCCATGTTGAATAATTTGGTCAGCGAATTAGGCACATCTGGTTAATAATAGCTACTAAAAGATTGTAAGTAACCACGACAATGTTTGGCTGCCATTTAGATCCTACCCAACAACCGAAAGCACTATAATTAGGTGTATTCAGGTCTGCCCCTAGGGAATTCAACCAGAGAAAACTTTTGTGGTATGGTTCAAGAAAGAAGTCACAAAGACGATTAAATTGAGTATAAGGCAAAAATATCTTGCCTGAAGCATTGCGGGAGTAATTCCATAGTTCAACGGCGAACGTTGGAGTCGGACAAAGAGGTAGGTGTAGGAGAGCCAGGTCACAGCCTCATCTATGTTCGTTACAGTGCCTAGGGCAATCTGCACCAGTTAGCCAACAAGGAAGGGTAGTCAATTACCTCGGCGTTAAGATGGTCATTGATATTACTCAGCAGCTTGCTCTCTATCGCAACCTGATTTGTAATCAGTCTAACGTAATGATCCAATTTATCGCGGGTTGTGATTATAGTCGCCAAGCCGAAAGTGTCGAATTGGGGACGACCGGCACGACCGAATATCTAAAATCAACCAAAACATGGTTACTTACAAATTATAAGTAGTAGGAAATGTGTGGTGAACAACCGTGCTGACCTGAACGACATCCAGAATGTCCAGATCAACAAAGTCAGATTTGTCGGCGTCGTAGATCTTCGTGCCCTTAATAACCACAGCGTGGGCTGGCAGGTTCACGCCCCAAGCCAGAGTTGCGGTACATACAAGGACCCGAATAACGCGACTGGAGAACAGCTGTTCAACAAGCCGTCTGTCGGGCCTCAGCATACCGGCGTGATGACAGGCAATGCCCTGGACAGCAAGTTCACGAACGGTGGCATCATGACAGTGTGGGACCTGGGTAAAAAGAGAGATATTAAGCAAGTAATTCAAGCATTTCGGCTGTCAAATGAATAGGCTTGCAAAACAACACTTTGAAAGGCAATTTTGAGTACTTGACACGGTGGGCAGTCCCTCGCTAGTAGTAGAAACCGGTTGCACAAAAATATGTGGCTGAATGTCATGTTAGGTGGTCTGAGCTGACATCGCGTCAATTTGGACATTACCAGTCGATTTCTTAGGGCTCTGCTGAGTGCAGTCCTTTCAAAATCTGTCACTGAGGACGCCGTTCGTCGACAAGACGGGAAATAGCACAGTCTTTAGACAGACCTGGCTACGGCTATTTCACCGAAAGTTTATGAAGGAAGTGAACCGGAATCCTTAAGAGTGCGCGCCAACACGCGGGACTTTGTTATCAGCATAAAAACTAGTCAGCCTTTCCAAAAACCCAAATGCATGCCTTTCCCAAAACATGTATCTGTAGCGAACACCACTGAATGAAATGCCAGCAAGAAAAGTGATAAGTCTCACTCTCCGCTATGCGCACCTTCAACCTCTCGCAGCAAACACTGTTAAGCCCTTCAAACGAGTGAGCCAACTTCCTCGTTGTCGTTCTTCTTTATTCTTTCTTCTTCCTCTTCCTCTTCTTCTTCTTCTTCTCCCTCCTCTTATTCTCCTTCTTCCTCTTCTTCTTGTTCTTCTTCTTCTTCTCCTCCTACCCTTCCTTCTTCTTTTTCTTCGGCAACATCACCACCACCATCACCACTGACGCCACCGCCACCGCCACCACCAGCACCACTGACAACAACACCACCACCACTGGCACCACCACCACTGACGCGAGAGACAGTCCAAACAGAGTGCGCGTTTTGTTTAACAGAAGCGTCAAATTATGCCAGATAGGAATGCGGTCGTGCGAGCGGTCCTCGTGGACAGTGGTGTGTGTGTGTGTGTGTGTTCCCCGACACGGATGTGCTCGAACGGACAGGAATCCACGACAACTACACCATGATGAGGCAAATGCAGCTGCGCTGGAGCGGTCACCTGGTGCGCATGGACGACGAGCGACTACCCAAACGACTCTTCTACGGAGACGTCGCGACGGGTTCTCGTCGTCAAGGAGGCCAAATTCGCCGTTACAAGGATACTCTGAAGTCCTCCCTGAAGCTTCTACAAATTAACCCGACCAAGTGGGAAGAGCTCGCACTCGACCGACCGACCTGGAGGAGGACAGTGAAGACAGGCGCTGCGATCTACGAAGCCAACCGAATTGCCGCCGCCAAAGCGAAAAGCGAAGCACGCAAATCCCAACTTCGCCCAGTCCGCAACGCTGACGCACAACCGCTACCTACGTGTCCTCGGTGTCAACGGACATTCCGGGCACGAATCGGACTTGTTGGACATCTCCGAACCAACTGCACCTCTCGAACTGCTCCAGCCATCGTTCCCCCGCCCGCCTCTTCCTCGTTCCCTCTGCCGACAACTACCTCTGGCAATTCTTCTGAACCACCACTTCCATTCTCTTCCTCCTCCTCCTCCTTCTCCTCCTCCTACTCCTTCTCCTCCTCCTCCTCCTCATCCTCCTCCTCCCTCTCTTTCCCCTCCTTCTCCTCTCCCTCCACTGCCCAACGGCGGCCGCTCAGGCGGCCGTCTTGCACATCGCCAAAGCCGACACAACAACAGACACCACCCCCACCTCTCTCGACTCCAGCGATGAGGATCAGAACTACACCTGCCCTCACTGCGACCGCACCTGCACCTCACACATCGGCCTTGTCGGTCATTTGCGAATCCATCGCACAGAGACTGGAGAACCAGTGCCTGCAGCACCAACCTATACCCACCAAGATCGTCTCAACTGTCCGCACTGCCCTCGCACTTTCAGGCACCGCATGGGCCTATTCGGCCACATGCGCATCCACGACGACCTGCGGTAGACAACCGCCGGTTACACCACACATTCACACACTCCCTACCTTCCTCCACCATCACCACTACACATCAACACGCACCCATCGCAAGCACCCAGCTGCCACCTACCACGCAAGTGGGAAGTGTGCATCTCGACTCGGTCCCCATGCGGCTTCGGCTGCACGGGTGACTTGAGTCCGAGACTATCCCGACACGTCAAGCGTCGTGGATAGGAAGGTTGCTGATTGAGGCCCGCTCTCGGTTCACGCAGTTCGTCGCGTTGTGTGTGTGTGTGTTGTACGGAGTGGCGGACTGGTGGGCTGGGGACGGGCTGAAACAGCACCTTCCACGGTCGTCTCACGCAAGTGAGACACGCCGTTCAACCTCCGTTGTGTGAAATCCTGGCGTTGTGTGTATGGGGGGCCAGGTCGTGCCGTGGCGCGCGCAGGCATGGTCAGTCGACCATGTCAGCCACCGCGCCCATTCCCCACTCCAGTCTACTGGCCGGCTCGGACAGCGGCTGGGGTGTGGGAATGGGAATGGAGAGTGAGGTCGACGACTCAGCGCACTTTCTCCTCACTATAAACAATCTGACGCGCTTGAAGCTATCACGGTGCGCTAAAAGCCGTGGCTTGGAAGGTTGCCAACTGACGCGGTAACTTGGACCTCCTCCTTGACTGGAGGCGGTCTGAGAGTCAGGCTGCAATGGCTTCTTTTTAATGTGGCCTTTATGGCACTCCCATCGTAGTGTGGGATCCGAGCCAAGCGTTGGCGGCACGCCCAGGTGCGGCTTCCGTCGTGCCAGCCTCCAAATCTCTGTTGTGTTGGTTGAAATCCTGGTTATTGTTGTGTGGACCAGGGCGTGTGGTGGAACGCTAAGGTGAGGATCCGTCCGAGCCATCCACCTGCGGCCCCCCTCGTCTCCGGCCTTCTTGACTCTGTCTTGATACCGGGCCCAGGCGGGGGAGGAGGAGAGAGTGTAGGTAGAAGCTACGCAAGTCTACTGGCACTATAAACCCCAGCGTAAGTCACCGTCCCTGATCCACAATGCCGTCTGTGGGGCACAAGATGGACATCATCGAAATCGATGGTCGAACTGTCCTGTGTGTGTGTGTGTGTGTGCGTCCATTTGCTGGCACCTAACTCTCACCTGTGGCTCCACGTAGCTGGGCTCTGCTCAGCGGCCACACCCCGGGCAACCGTCTCGACCGGCGGGCTAAACCAGGTGAGGGTATCCGTGCGTGCACCTGCACGCGCGGTACTGTGGTCTACGCTGGCCGGATGGATCTTCGCGTCGACATCGTCGAGACGAGGCTCTGCCTGGACCATCGCAGGAGGCCACCAGGTAAGTTCCCCCTCAGGTAAGTGCGCTTGCTTTGTTTCTTCCTTTTGTTTGTTGAAGTTCCGCGTCGTACGCTGCGCTTGCTGCCTGCCCTCTTTATGCTAGTCTGTCTGTTAATAGCTAAACGACACCCTCGATGTCTGCTGCGATTGTCTGTCCGTCAGTCTATGCCACTCTCTACTAATAGCTAGGTGTTACGGTGCTTGACTTTGTGTGGTGCCCTCACTTTGTCTCTGACTGATGACTGTGTCCGCTTGTCCACTCTAGTTCTAAGTCCCCTAGCGTTAGTTAGTGTGTATGCTCTCTCCTACTTCACTCCATCACATCATCACCTCACCACCAAGGTCCCAAGCTAATTCGGGTCGTTCTCTCACTAACAAAAAGTCGTGGCCCATAGTGGAGTCCAGCAGCCGTCTGGGATAACCGGGCAGCCCTGTTCAGGGATGCGTTGCCTGCCCCCGCGAGGGGGAGGGGGCTAGAAAAGGTGCCCTAAAGATCGCTGGGAACCACGCTGTCTGTAGGCTGGCCCTGGCCGCAGACAAAAAACACACGGTCGAAACATCCAAAACCGAAACAACAACAACAACAATCACTCTCTTCCTCTTCCAGCCTATTCTTCTTCTTCTCCTACTCCTACTTTTCGCCGCCGCAGTCTCCAGACTGCCAGGGTGAGCCCGCTCACTCTGGCAGCCTGGAATGTTCGTTCCCTTTTAGACATCCCGATGAGTAACCGACCGGAACGGAGGACGGCGCTAGTGGCACGAGAACAAGGTGGACATCGCCGCACTCAGCGAGACCCGATTCTCCGAACAAGGCCAACTGGAGGAGGTGGGTGCCGGCTACACCTTCTACTGGAGTGGTCGACCCAGGGCAGAGCGACGAGACGCGGGTGTCGCCTTCGCCATCCGGAACGACATCGTGGGACGACTACCCTGTTTGCCGCAGGGTATCAATGATCGCCTGATGAGCCTCCGTCTGCCTCTGCGGGGTGGGGGCAAATTCGCCGCCATCCTCAGCGCCTACGCTCCGCCGATGAGCAGCCCCGACGCCGCCGCAAGAGACAAATTCTACGAAGACCTGCACGCCCTCTTGGCGACTGTGTCGAAGGCGGACAAGTTGATTGTCCTTGGCGACTTCAACGCCCGCGTCGGCACAGACCATACTGCCTGGAGGAGAGTGCTGGGTCCTCACGGTCTCCGCGGCTCCAACGACAACGGCCTGCTGCTCCTCCGCACCTGCGCAGAACACCGCCTCATCCTGACGAACACGTTCTTCTGTCTGCCGGAGCAAGAGAAGGCCACATGGAGGCATCCTCGGTCGCGTCATTGGCACCTCGTGGACTATGTCCTCGTCCGGAGGCGAGATCAGAGGGACGTGCTGGTGACGAAGGCGATCGCGGGTGCTGACGGGTGGACCGACTATCGCCTCGTTATCTCGAAGATGCGTATTCGACTACAGCCTCGCAGGAGACCACAAGGTAAGCGACCCCCAGGTAAGCTGAATGTTGCTTTGTTGTCTTTGCCTGCTCACCGTCTCCATTTCAGCAATGAGCTAGCTCAACGGCTAGACAACCTTCCTATCGCTGCCGCCGCCGACGACGCGACCGCCGCCGCTGCCGAGAACGCCTCCGTGGAGAACCGCTGGTGTCAGCTGCGAGACATGGTCCAGTCGACGGCTCTCGCCGTCCTCGGTCGCGCTCCCCGCCAACACCAGGACTGGTTCGACGACAACGACGCCGCCATCAGCAATCTGCTAGCTGAGAAGAACCGCCTACACAAAGCCTACGTAGATCACCCCACTGAGGACAACAAAGCGGCCTTCTACCGCAGTCGCCGCCAACTTCAGCAACGACTGCGCGAGATGCAGGACGCCTGGACTGCTCGCAAAGCTGAGGAGATCCAAGGCTATGCGGACCGCAACGAATGGAAGAACTTCTTCTCTGCAATCAAAGCTGTCTACGGTCCGTCGACGAAGGGCACTGCTCCCCTTCTCAGCGCCGACGGCAGCACTCTCCTGACTGAGAAGACGCAAATCCTACAGCGATGGGCCGAGCACTTCCGAGGCGTCCTCAACCGCCCTTCCGTCATCTCCGACGCCGCCATCGCCCGCTTGCCGCAAGTGGAGACCAACGCGGACCTCGACCTCCCGCCAACTCTCCAGGAGACCATCAGGGCCGTGCAGCAACTCTCCAGCGGGAAAGCACCCGGATCGGACGCGATCCCTGCTGAGGTCTACAAGCACGGAGGTCCCCAACTAATGGATCACCTGACTGCGCTCTTCCAGGAGATGTGGCGTCAAGGTGAAGTCCCGCAGGATTTCAAGGACGCAACTATCGTGCACCTATACAAGCGAAAAGGGAATCGCCAAGTCTGCGACAACCACCGCGGCATCTCCCTACTGAACATCGCCGGGAAGATCTTCGCTCGCATCCTGCTCAACCATCTGGAACAGGGCCTTCTGCCGGAAAGCCAATGCGGCTTCCGTCGTCATCGTGGGACCACGGATATGATCTTCGCCGCCCGCCAGCTTCAGGAGAAGTGCCAGGAGATGCGGACCCACCTGTACTCTACCTTCGTGGACCTGACGAAAGCCTTCGACACGGTGAATCGTGAAGGACTGTGGAAGATCATGCAGAAATTCGGCTGTCCGGAGCGATTCACTCAGATGGTGCGTCAGCTGCACGACGGTATGATGGCGCGAGTCACGGACAACGGAGCTGTCTCAGAGGCATTCGCAGTGACCAACGGAGTGAAGCAGGGCTGTGTGCTGGCGCCTACCCTCTTCAGTCTTATGTTCTCTGCCATGCTGATGGACGCCTACCGCGACGAACGCCCTGGAATACGCATCGCCTACAGAACGGACGGTCATCTACTGAATCAATGGCGCATGAACTTCCAATCGCGCGTATCCACAACTACCGTGCACGAACTCCTCTTCGCCGACGACTGCGCCCTGAACACAACCTCGGAAGCGGAGATGCAACGGAGCATGGACCTATTCTCCGCCGCCTGCGAGAACTTTGGGCTGGTCATTAACACGCAAAAGACGGTGGTGATGCACCAACCGCCGCCCAACTCAGCCACAGCCCCCAACGCGCCGCCGCAAATCAGCGTAAACGGAAATCAACTGCAAGTGGTAGAGAACTTCCCGTATCTGGGCAGTACCCTCTCCCACAACACCAAGA